AGTCTGTACTGGAACTTTGTCTGAGCAGGGAATCAGTTATGTGGGTAGGGCGAGCAAGCCAAATTGCCATGTACATATCACGCTGGAGAAGAGACTGGGTGGAGCTTTCAAGATCCGCTGCCGCCAATCGTCACGCATGGAAAGGTACCGTCCGTGAAATCAGCCAGGCTGGATAGATCAGGCATGATCACAGCCGTAACAAGCACAAATACAAATACCCCCCCCCTTCCCCCAGCGATAATCACGAGAGCCGTTAATTGCAGTACACATGTTTTCGTGTGGACATTACGCACTGTAAATACTGCGTACCTCGTGCCCCTATCACCCTTATCTGCGAGTGTTCCTGATGATGGGTTCGAACGGGAATCCGAAACATCAGGCCAATATACTTCTTGTTCCATTGATCGCATCTTCTCTTTCTGTACTGAAACTCAAATAGGCAGATAGTATTACCGGCAAAGACAGGGGGCCTGGAATGATCATTTCTGGCTTATCAACCGTCGTCAGCCAGGCATACCCAGACCTAAGTGGCGTCCCACCCGAGCCTCGAACTCGCGACCTCTTTGATCAGAGTTAAACGCCCTAACCATTGAGCCACGAACTCGCTGTATTGCTGGGTTATTTCGAGGGATATTGAAAGGTGTCTTACTTTCCTGTGGAGTGAGTAAAAACGATAAATGATTGGCGGCTGCAGGACCTGCACGAACCGTTCTCCTATGAGCGCTGGACCTGCTCGTTTGTCGCCGTCCTTGCTCTTCAGACAGTAGTATAAGCCCTAGCACAGACTGCATTTCGAAGGGCCTCATAGGCACTCTTTCTCGAGCGACTTGTCTACTTAACTGTGCTTGAAGTAAACGGATTTGTAGGAAACACATTTTGAGCTAACGACATTCAGGGATTTAAATCTTGCGTTTCATCCGCATCAGAAGGCTGGCCAATTACACATCTGTTAGGACCCTGTACAAATGATGGCCCCAATGCTGCGGGCGAGAGACTGCCAAAGATACCAATATGTCACAATGCACGAGGCGGTGCCAGGGCCGCCTGCCATAATGCCAAGGACGCGCGGAGAGACGATACAGTAAGACGGCGTAAGCGTGGACCGATCACGAATGCTATCCCTCCCCCACCCCCTTTACTCGTAGCTGGACTGCAAAAACATGCCAATGCTAGCTGTTCTCTCATTTTCTCTGACAATGGCCTCTCGTGTGAAGCCGAAAGCTCAGGTTACTGCAATTGGTGTCCCACTGATCGCGCCTTTGTCCTCTTTATGCTAGTATGTCTGTAGATCTTCAAAGCAGATCAAATGCCTGCACTCCTGGGCTGTTTCACAGCTCTTTTTTTGCTTTCCCGCTGTAGCACCAGCAAGTACGGAGGCCAAAAAACGGCGCCACGGAGAGGATGAAGAAAAGGAGGAGGAGGAGGAGGAGGAAGAGGGTGATCTGCTAATAGTGGACGGAGAGCCGCAGAATGGTCCACCCCCCACCAAGGTTGCTCGACTGGAGAAGTCACCGGAGTCGGGGAAGGTCCACGTCGAGGTGGTGGAGGAGGAGGACGAGGATCTTGTCATGCTCGATTAACTTGCACGGAGGAGGATGAGGAGGAGGGGGTGGTTTTGGTCTGCCAACCTGCATTTCCTTTTTTTCCTCACCGAACTGCCCACCTTGCTAAGAATTTTATATAAATGTTGCCGCGTTCCCCGTCGCCTCCCCCCCTCCCGCCTCCTGCCCCCAACGCTATTAAAATACACATATTTTGTATACAAACTCACCGGCTTGTTTTTAGTTACGTGTGTGTGTGTGTGTGCGCGCGCCTGTGATTTTTATAGGTTTGTGTTGCTAAATTGTAAGGAGCCGTCTGTCCCCTTGTCTGTGTCAGGTTGTGCTTGCCTGTACTGAAAATCTAGTCACTGGTAACCATGCCCCCTGTCCCCACCCCACCTTTGATAGCCTTCTGCCTGAACGTTGGAGGGGAGAACTGTTAGTGAGCAAACATGATCTTGTGCTGGACAGTGGGATCATTAAGCATGGCATAAAACGTTTGTCTCTGTTGTAACTTACCCTACTAACAACCTAGGTACTAGCTAAAAGGCCCACAAACGTGTTTCGCCGGTATTCTACCG